TGAATTTAAGATTTTTAATAATTTAGACAATTTAGAATCAGGTATATTATTTTTGATTTATTTTTATTTACTATTTTATAATTAATAATATATTTTTTTTATTTTTATATAAAGAATCAAAAGTTGAAAAAAAACTTGCTAAATTTACTAAAAAAATCAAAAAATTAGAATTATAAAATTCTGATTTCTTAAAGAAAAACTGATTTTTTGTCAAAATCAATGAGAAATTCAATAAGAAAAATGAAGATTTGCAAAAGAAATAAAAATTTATATACTAATATTTTAATATTTACAATAATTAATTTTTCTTTTATAATATTAAACTTGACTGATTTGAAAAAATACAGCTACTCAAATAATTGAGATAAGGCACTGACATATATTAGCTAATATTTTAGGGGGTGAGGGTAGCAGAAGATCTTAAGTTATACATAAACTTATAAATTATGTGATAAATATAATATCTTATTTTATTAATATTATATATCGATATCAATACAAATATAGTTAGACTTTATAATAAAGTGTTGTAATTAATACAAATATAGTTACACAACCTGATCTTATTTATAATCTGATATGCATTCTCTCAAACATAATTCTTTAAAAAACAGTATTTTATCTTATCATTATAATGGGAAAATAGAAAAGTCATTAAGAGTTAAGAAGTTTTAGTCTTTACCTTTTCTTTTGAGTTGTCAATAGCTAGCAGGATGTATTATCTATTTGTGGTTTGTCAAAAAAGTAAGTATTAGAAAATATTTATTATATTCAGAATAACAAAAATGCAAATATGTTGTTTTATCAAGAGATAGACAATGGGAATCGTAATCAGGAAGTTTCAAGAGATTATAATATTTGAGAAAGTATATTGGATTGGTAAAGTATCTATCTTTAGTTTTAGTAATAAGAGGTAAGAAGCTATTGTTTGATTGAAGAAATTCCATAGCTTCTTTTGTACAAAGTAAACTACAACAGCTTATATTCATATATCATTTAATATCGAGTGAATATTGACATAGAATACAATGATTTTAATCAATGATCATAGTATAAGCAATCAGCTAAATCTATTTCTTTTTCTTTTTCTTTTTGTTATTTCTTTTTTTGTTTTATTGTCATTTTCATTCTTTAATCTTTTCTTTTTCTGTACCCTCAAATTATAGGTTTTTAAAAGGATTGATGAATCCTTCAACATACTGAGCATCTACGCTTTTTCTGAAAATTAAATCACAATGCCAAATATTATAAAGAGCTTCTCCTACATTTTAATAATTTTAGAGAGCTAACTTTAGATCTATCACTTTGTCTTGCGTATTAAAATGTGTTTCAAAATGATCAATTAGTAATATAATACTTGCTAACTTGCCAAATAGTATCACTATACCCCTTATGATCAGATTATATTTGGATTGCCCTAGAGTATATATTTGTACAATTAGATAATTCAAATTAAATTTTTGAAAAAGATGGTAATATGTTTTAATATTTTTTAAATGTCTCAGGTTCTCATTTGATCCTCCATCTACTAATAAAATCCAGATTAGTTGAATTTCTTTGTCAGTCTTTAACATATCATCATATTGGATATTTAAAGAGAGATTTTTGAGATCTTGTATATATGTGAAAGAGGATATACCAAAGGACCATTGACATCGTATAAAAATAGCAAGTTGGCCTATTCGTAGTTCATCATTTGAATCATTCAATTTGATTATAATATAAACTAATAGAACTAACTTTTGTCTATACCTTATAAGAAAATCATGATCAATCACATGAACAGGCTCATGAACTAACTATAATGTTTGAAAGGTCTGACTTATAGCAGATATTCCAAGACCTATCTTTGCCTTATTACTTAGAAGATGACAACTGACATATCGGCAAAAACAGTTGTAAATTGTCTTGTATATTTTACAGAGGCAAGGCAATAATGACTATCAGAATGATCATGTGTTTCCATTTGTAAAACTCTAGCTACTGCGATCTATGCTAGATGATGATGAGCTCTTGCAGCAATAGAATTGAATTAGCATAGTAACAGATAATTATTTAATGTTATCTGTGCCATATAGACATTATATTTCTCCTTAAGATTTTTATGCAAATTTTCAATGACCTGAATTTTTATCACTTTTCTTCATTATTTCTTATCAGCTGAATTGAACTTAACTGAATTATGAATATGCTCATGTAATTCTAGATGTTTGAAAAAAAGGGATGGATGACTGGGTCTATCATATTATATAACCTCCTGTTTTTCAGCAAGTATTTTCTTTTTTTTTCTTTGCAATTTTGAACATATTATGCATTCCTTTTTAATTTAAGAATCCTGTTCTGATTTAATTTAATTTGAGCTCAGAGGTCTACTATTTTCTCATATATATCATGGTAAAGTTGAGAATCAGTTATAATATTGTAAATTTGTTTAGATTCAATAAGTTTTTTTTCAGTTACTATTATTTCACTTGTTGCTTATTTTTGAGCTGTTACATTAATAGGGATTTCTGTTATAGATTTACTGAACAAATAGTAGGAAGAGGAGGTATTGATTCTTTTCTAGGCATAGGAGGACATCTTAGTCTTAATGTTTGTATATCATATAGATTGAATTGAGTGATTAAGTATTTTCTGATTATATTATCAATTTCTGCTACACTTTTACTTTTAATCTTATTCCATTCTTATGATATTTCATGACAAAAATCAGCATGATTTAGAATACCATTTTCTGTCTTTACTATAAGACTATATATATAAGCATTGAAAAACTCCTAAAATGTATTTGTTGATGATTTATATATTGGCTTTTTATTAAAACTAGGACTAAATAAAAAGATTTGTTGACTTATACTTAAAATATTCAATGAAAAGTTTTTGTAGACATGAAATAGAAAGCTGAATATAATGTGTAAAATTCTCACAGCAAGTCAATTTTAAAGAAATACATAAAATAAGAGCTCAATTCAATTTGGAATTATTAAGTAGATCTCTATTATTCAAATTAGTATTAATTAATTAAGCTAATTCAAGTAAAATCGTATAAAATAAAGTTTTTTATAATATTTTGCAATATCTTACAATATTCTGTAATATATAGATTTTATTATCTGATTAAAGCTTTTTTTTATATTTAAAAAAACTAATACCGTATTCCTCTAAAAATAAACACTTCCTGAAAATAAGCATCATCAAGATTTATTAGCATCTTAAAATAAGCATCCCCATAATTTATTCAATTAAAATCTGATTATTATTTATTATTATTTTAGCACTTATATATATATTATATAACTCATTATAAAAAATATTTATTTCAATAATTTTAAATGCTATCACCTTAATCACTATTAATGCTATTATTGTCATCAATATTATCATTATTGTCACAATTACTATCAATATATATAATATCCAAATTATTATCTTCATTTTTATCTGTACTTTATCTATACTCTTATATCTACTTTCATCTTCATTATTATCTCCACTCTCATCAGATCTGTCTAAAGAATTTAATATCTTAAATTTTTTAAAGGATCTGATAATAATTTCGTCTGAAATTGCCTTCTAAAAATGTTTGACTCACATGCAAACATCACTTAATTTTGCCTGACGAAAGTTATTCCTATACCACCCTTGAACATTCAGCTATACCATTCTTTTTGTAGATTTTCTTTGAATGGTTTATTGATCACAAAATTGAGTGGTTAGCAAATGCTAGTCAATCTGCCTAGAATAACTGCCAAATTATATTTACTTTCATGAAACTTTAATTTTACCAATTCTTCAATATGACCTCTAAATGAATCATACACTAACATTACTGGAATATTGTTAGTTCTTGTATTATTAAGATAAATCACATACTTTTTCATCAGATCAGCATTCATCCATACATTTTTCTAAAACTATACTACTACTTCAGAAGAAATTTGTTCTCCTCGTAATATCTGTTTTTCTTTAAAAATACAGATAAGTAGTAATTTAGTACTATCTATAAAAATGAATAAAAAACTATAAATACAATAAAATTTTTCTTGCATTCCTTTTCAGTAAATTTCATAAATCAGTCCTACCTGTGATACATGTCAAAATTATAGTAAACTAATTCTTCTTGTTATCTGTTGCTTGAATATGCATAGTTTTTTCACCTTTTGGATTGACTATGATATTGTCAACTATGTCAAACTAAACAGATATCTTATCTATATTAAAAATTTCACACATTTTGAAGGATTTTTCTATTCTAAGGTAAATAATAAATTGCTGAAACTTTTTTAATAAATCTTAATCACCGATCTGGCTAAGATCATCACTATTCTCATATAGAAAATTGGGGTTAAATTTGCCAATCTGATACTAATATACAAACTTCCAAAAAGGATATTTCATAAACGACGCACAAACTTTAAATAATTAACACATGATATACTAAAAAAATACTTGAAAAACCGAATCTGGCAAAAAAAATTATACGTTTATATGTAAAATAACAACTTTTCTATATGGGCACGTCAGATTTACGTTTTGAATAAAATAGAATTTCGTTATTTTACTGTACTTTATTATATTATTTATATAAAAAATAAGCACAATTGGCCTTTTAACTTGTTTCCAAAGACTCTCTTACGTTCAAGGTATGTTCTGCTGCTTCAATTGCTTGAAGTGTCATTGCATGTTTCCAGCCTCGTAAAAAAGAAGTAATCTAATTTGCAATAGTAGATTCCTTTGGTATATCTTCTTTCTTTATTTCTCCTTCTTGTACTCGTTGCATTAATTCACTTCGCATCTCTGCAGCTGTCATTTTATTTCTTAGGTTTGCAGTTCCTGCACAAAACATTGTTTCAAGAAGTTGCTTGATATATATAAGGATTCATTTCACTAGTTTTCTAACTTTTTGGTGTTGTTACAATACCCAACCAGAAATAAAAACTTCCCAACTAAATAATAATAATTGCTGGTGAGTTTATTTAAAATTGGTATTCAATTTCTTATTATGAATTACCGTACTCTTTGCATTCCAAATTTACTTCTGCTTTATTTGTTATATCCACATATTCCTGTATTATACAATATATTTTGTTATTTTTTTTTTTATCAATTAGAATCATTTATTTCACAACTTACTAATTCATTTGTCAAATCCTCTAAATTTTCATCAATAGTACCTTGAATATTATATAGAGTGGGATTTAGAATTTTCTAATATCATTTAGATATTGATGTAAAGAATACTTCAATACTTTGATGATCAGTTCCTGGT